TACCCAAGTTGATAAGTATTAACCAAGCTGCTTTTGTGAAAGGGATAAGTATAGGGGACCAAATTTACTTGATCAAGAGCTCTTACAAGACTTGGAGAAACCTTGCAGAGGTGGCAATGTGATCTACAAGCTTGATCTGAAGAAGGCTTATGATATGGTAAATTGGGATTTTATTAAGGAATGCTTGGAGGCAAGAGGGTTCTCTAGGGAGTTCTGCCAGACCATAAAAGAATGGCTTGAGGCCAATGCCAATTCTGTCTTCATAAATGGAAAAGTCCATGGGTTCTTTAAAGCTACTAGAGGTCTTAAGCAAGGAGATCCTCTTTCCCCTACTATTTTCATCCTGGTGTTGGATTACTTCTCAAGACTCATTGATAGTCAAGAGAATAAGACATGCTTCAATGCTTATCACAATAAAGCTAAGATGGACATTAGTCATCTTTTTTATGTTGATGATATCCTCATTTTCACTAGGGAAATAGAGGCTGCTACTAGATACCTTGATAAATGCTTGAATAAGTTTCAAAAGGTGTCTGGTCTCAAAGATAATAAAGATAAATGTCAGATCCTAACCAGCAAGAGAGTTCCAGTTTTAATCAGAGTTTAGAGAGTTCCAGTTTTAATCAGATAGTGATTGACTGAGTTCACTGGTTTCTCAACTATGAGCATGCCATTTAAATATCTAGGCACTCAACTAGTTAGAGGCAGAACCAAAAAGACCCAATTTGATGAGGTCATTGATAAAATTAAATCTACCCTTCAGGGGTGCTCCAATTCTTACCTATCTAATGGTGGAAGGATCACCCTTCTTAAGAGTATTCTCAGTGCCATCCCTCTCTACACCCTTCAAGTGGCAAACATGAAAAGAAGCACCACCTTGATGCTGGAAAGAATGTTTAACAGGTTCTTCTTGGCTGGCAATAGGAAACGAATGATCTGGGCTAGTTGAAAAAGAGTGGCTAAACCTTATGAAGCTGGTGGTTTGGATTTTAAAGGACTTCACCAAATGCAACAAATCTGTATATGTAAACTTTGGATCAGATTTAGACAAAATGATAGTCTTTGGGCAGAATAAATGATGGCCAAATATTGCAAATATGATCATCCTGGTGAAGTAACTAAGAAAGTTGGAGACTCCAGGACCTGTATCCAGATGCGCAGGGGAAGAGAAGACATTGAAAAGTTTCTTATTTGGGAGCTAGTTCATGGAGAAATAAACTTCTGGAAGGACAAATGGTGCCCTACTGATCACTTGGAACCACTGCAACAGGATAAAGAGGAAGATCTACTTGTTAAGGACTGTTGGAGTGGAAATGAGTGGTCTGAGGATGCTTTGAATACCATCCTGAAGGAATCTTCTGCTGAAAGAATTTCTAAAATTCACTTTGATAGAAATAAAAAAGACCAGATCCATCTCATTAAGAGGACCAGCTCTAGCCTTTCTAAGGACATCCAGAATAGTATTTTTAGAGGGGATAACTGCCAGTGTAATATTTTTACTTGCAAAAAGTTCTTAACTCCTTCAATGTTGTTCTTTTCTTGGAGAGTGCTAAATGATTTGATTCCAACTGATGACATTCTAAAACTGAAAGGTTTGAAAGTCATCTCAAGATGTCACCTTTGCAAAAACAATCAAGAATTTAGTGACCATCTTTTCTTCAGTTGCAGATTTTCTAGAGATGTTTGGAAACATTTGACCTCTAAATTTAACCTCAACCTGATCAATGTTGGCCGGGGAAACATCAAAGAAAATTTAAAAGACTGGCAGGAAATTAACCTTATGTCTCTTCCCTTCAGTGTTGCCTGGTTTTTGTGGAATGCTAGGAACAACGTAAAGTATGAGGACATTGGGACTAACCCAAACTCTGTGGGGTCTAACTGTCAGGCCTACCTTCAAAAGTTGATTAGCTGGAAGAAGTTCCATAAGATTTTGAAGAACCTGCCTAATATAGAATTGAAACAGCTTAAAGTTATAAAGGTTAGATGGGAGAAGCCCCCTTATCCTTTCATCAAAATAAACACTGATGGAAGTTTCACCAACAGGAAAGCTGGTATTGGAGGGATATTTAGAGACCACACTAGTAAAGTCTTGCTATATTTCAAGGCCCCCTACATTGCTGCTGATGCCCTGGACACTGAAGCTACTGCTCTTTACTGGGCACTCAATTTTTCCATGGAAATTCAGTGGAATAAGATTAATGCTGAAGTGGACTCTTACCTACTGGTGGATCTGATCACTGAAAACACCCTCCCCCCTTGGCACATCATCTAGTGGATGCATAAGATAAAGAAGCTTATCATTAAAATTAAGCTACAAATCTCCTTTGTTATAGGGAAGCCAACAAGCCTGCAAATTTTCTGGCTTTGGAGGGTTCTAATTCAATTCATGCTGAGGTCTCCACTTCCCCTCCACTCCCCCTTCAACTTTTATTACAAGGGGATAAACTTCATATACCTTATCTCAGATTGCAGACCTAATGCCTGGATCTTCCTCATTGCTCTTTGGACTCCTGTCACTCCAATACACTTGCTGATCTCCTATTTTCTATTGTTGTCAGCCTGCTGGGGTTTTTTTGGAATTATATTGATATTATATATATATATATATACACACACACACACACACAAACACTATTTTCTCCGTGTGCTTGAGAAGAAGTTGTAAGTGAATGGGTCACCCTTATGAGTGAGTTTAGTGTATTTCTTTTTTTTGTTGTTATTTTTTTGGATTTTTAGATAGGAGACTCTTCCTAAGTTTGTATTTGAATTTTGTGGTTTAACATGTAAGGAGCCAAATAATGCTCCTTCCCAAAAATATATATATATATATATATATACACTTTCTATTAATAAAAGTTAGCTAACAATTCTGAAATGAGGAGCATCAAGATGGTCCTAAGAAAGAAATAAAGTGAGAGGAGGGGGGAGGAAGAGGATAAAGAGATAGAACTAGTGCTATGACCATATCTAGCAAGCCAGTTAGCAGGTTTGTTTCCTTCCCTATAATTGAAAGTGAAATGAGCATTGAGTTGTGAACATAATGTTTTGATCTTCTGAAGCCATTGAGAATGATGCCAAGGGGACTACTCCTCAAACTCCAACAAGTTAATCAACACAGTAGAATCCACTTCAATCCACAAATGAGACCAATTAATCCTCACAACAAATTTCATAGCCTACTAAACAAAAATAAGTTCAATTTCCAATGCACCAGAGGCAATAACAGGGGCATCGAAACTTCCCACTGTGGTTTCTAAAAACCCCTCCCACACCAGCACCAAGCTCAGAAGAACTCCCATCAGTATTAACTTTGATAGTGGAAGGTTTTGGGGGCTTCCAATACACTTTCCAAATCCAAGTATGAGCTAATTTTTCTAGGGGGATTATTTATACAAATATTAGGAAGTCTCTTGTGTTGGATCAATTTTTGGAGGAAGATGACACATTTTCTCACCACCTGAGCCACAGATGGAAGATTGCCCTCAAATTTTGCATGATTCCTGGACAACTAAATGAACCATGCAACCAAAAAAGGAATGGAATATACTTTTGTTTGTTTCAGCTATGCCAACATGAGTGGAAATGATCCCATTGAAAGATCCCCATCTAACAAAAAAAAAGGGGGGGAGATAAATCTTTTCTAAATACAGTAACTTTAGAAAGGAGTCCTACTTTTGGTAGCCAATTTGCTGGTCGATTTCCCTCTCAGTATATGAACTAGTATCTTGTGTTTAGTAGTTTGGACATTTGTTTGATTCTTTAAACCCACAATAAAAGGTGCCAAGGACAATTCAGCTTGTGTTTGAGAATGTTAACTAATAATTGAGAGTGTTTCAATGATCAACTTCTAGAAATTACCCATGATTGCAATATAGAAGGCCCAGTAAGAAACTAAATCTTCAGCATCCAAAGCATGTAAGGCCACAATTGGAGAATGGAAAGATAAAAGAAAATTGCCTTACCAATCTCTGAAGACTCCATAAATGGCAGCATCAAAGTTGAGGTAGCTACCATCAGTGTTAACCTTAATTTAATCTTTCTCTGGTTTAAGCCAATAAAGAAGTAACTTAGAAATTTTAAGAGGCAGCTTCTTCTCTTTAGGTAGTATAATGTATGGAAAATTTTTTAGTTGGACAATCATTTTCATATGCATTCGACAGTTGATCCCCACCACTTTACATTCTTGTTGCCATCCATACAAACTAAGCAACCACACAAGGAATGGTGGAGAGATTGACATGCTGCTGATCATTCCAACAATTCTAGAAGTTCCTCCATGAGGGATTTATGGTCTGGATGTTTCTTTTATTCAACACATAGCTCCAAACCTGCTGGACAAAGGGGCAGTTGAAGAAGTGGTGTTAAATTGATTCTTCCACTTGTTTACAAAGTCCACAACAAGATGGGCCTCTCATGCCTTTGAGTTTTAAGATGTCATCAGTGGGAAAGGGGCTGGAAAATAGTCCCAAAAGAAGAAGAACAAGGATGGGAAAAGGAACTTCCCCCAGAGATGTCTCCCCCAATGTAATTGTTGTCTCTCATTACAAAGACAATAAATATAAGTACACACTATTTGGGAAGAGTTCTTCTTAATAATAAGTTTGTACCACTTGGAGGGATCAAGTGGAATGTTCACATGCTACTGATCTATTAACCATCAAGAATATAATGCAAATTATGTTTATTTTAGTGTCCCTCGATACAACAATCTAAAACTTTGAGATTCAAATTATAAGGAAAAGTGTTGGAGATTGAGATTTTTAATGTTTGAGGTTTATATTTTATGTGTCCCTTCATAGTATCCTTAGAAAATTTAGATATTCTCAAAGTTGTAGATTATGTCTCAAAATTAATTGAAGCAGTAGCTCTTCCAAACTGTGATGCTCAAAGTGAAGCTAAACTCTTAAAAAAGTATATCTTTAGTAGATTTGATATACCAAGATTGATCATTAGTGATGGGAGAAGCCCCTTTAGAAATAGAAAAATAGATACATTATTTTTTAAATATGAAATTAAGAACAAGATAGACACAACTTATCATCCTCAAATGAGTGGTTTAGCAGAGTATTGAATAAGAAACTCAAAAGGATTTTAGAAAAAACAGCCAAAATACTAGGAAGGATTAGTTTATCAAATTAGATGAAGCATTGTAGGCCTATAGGATAGCTTAAAAAACTTCTATAAGAATGTTTCCACATAGGTTAATATTTGGCAAAGCTTATTACTTACAAGTAGATTTAGAGCATAAAGGTTATTGGGTGTTTAAGGAGTTTAATTACAAAATGGAAGAAGTTAGTGAAAAAAGATTACTGTAGTTAAATGAAGTTGAGGAAATTAGACAAGAATCTTATAAAAATGCCAAAATTTATAAAGAGAAAATAAAAAATTTGCATGATCGAGAGATTCTTACAAAATATATTAAGGCTAGATAGGAGGTCATATTTTACAATACATGATTGAACTAATTTTCTTGGAAAACTAAAGTTTAGGTGGTTGGAGCCATTTAATGTTATTAAAGTGTATCCTTTTGGTGCTATTGATACTAATAATCCTAAGAGTGGTAGAATATTCAAAGTGAATGGACAAAGGCTTAAACCTTATCTTGGTGTTGAAAGAACTATAGTTAATGAGGTTTTAATTTTTGGTCAACCTCAGTAAATTCTAGATTCATCGAGCTGATAACATTAAACCAAATGTATTTTGGGAGACAGCCCAAGTTTGTTTATTTTTTAGTGTGTTGTGTTTACTATTTTTGTTGTTTTCATTTGTAGTGTTTATGTTGATGGTTGTGATTGGTTTGCTTTTTTTTTAATATGATATGAGGGAGGTGATTCCTTACTTTTCTCATTTTGATTGGACTTGTATATGTTTTCTGGGAGTATTAAGATCAACCAAACCATTTACATCTTAGATCCTAATGAAACTAAATATTTACTAGAGACATATTGAGCTTGGACATAGGAAAGGTCCATCTCAATTCTTTATCTCCTATTATTTACATGGTTCTTCTATTTAGGTGATTCAATAGTCTAGCCATTTGGGGAACTTGTGGAGTACCTTTCACTTGAACTATTTGTAGTGTATACTTTATAGGACAAGGATATATCTGAGGTTAAAAAAACATAATCCAATATAATTAGAACAATCTTGTCCAAAGGATTAAACTTACAGAAAAAAAAATTTTAAGCATTTTATAGGTAAATGCATAAGAATTTTGGTGGAAATGAGGACGTAGATAAGGGAGATGTGATAAGGATGATAAATTAACCTCATTTATCTTTAGTGTTTAAGTTTTTTTTTTTTGATTAAGAACTTGGTGAGGATCAAAACATACAATTTAAATGACTAAGACCAAATTTTGGTCATGCACATAGGCCCCAATACCCCTGGCACCAAATTGTTAAGAAGTGTACTAGCACCTAGGTGCTATTAAACCAGTGCCGAGGCATTGCACCCAAGCACCTTGGCACCACTATCACAATGCTTAGGTGTCACTCTTACCTCAACAAAAATATAGCCTGAACAGCTCCAGTTTAGGTTATTTTTTCACGAGCTTCTCGTCAACTATTCTCTAGAGATTGGAGGGTGATACTTAGGGAATCCATATCTCTTGCATTTATGCTCATTCTAGATGCATTAGAGCGTGAAAATTATCTCTCTTTGGTAAAATTTGACCACTTCACCTTGCAATTCCTTGTTCATGAGGGAAACTTTCAGATTTTTGGGGAAACCATGAAGAAGAGAGGAAGTACTTGGGAGTGAGTTGATTTAGCTCATAATTTGCATATTGAGTGTAACTTCATCACATTTTTTAACTCATCTCAACATAAATTGCTTATCGTACTTATCCTGTGGCACCTAATACCAATGGGATTAAATAAAAATATTCTTTTAATAGGAAGAAATTTGTTAGCTCCAAATCTCAAGAGCAATATAACGAATTTTTGGTATCAAAGAAGTTAATAGCAGAGTTGGATTGCATTAGCTCTAGAGGTGCTGTAGAAATTTTTATTGTATCTCGTCTTTGGGAGACTTTGTACTACACTACAGTTGTAGCTTTTATTTCTGTAGATAGGTAGTTCTACACTAACCTCCCTGAAGCCTCTACTGATTTTGTATTTGTGAAAGATAGGTGAGTGGCTATCTCCCATATCAGGAAATATTCCAAAGAGTTTCTACTCTAGGTTTAATCTTGTTGATACTAATCTTGATGAGATTATCAGTTTTTAAAAGAGATAGGTGAGTGGCTATCTCCCATATCGGGAAATATTC